ATTGTCATTCTCTACTAGTTCCACAAATGAATCTTCTCTGTTTTTGTTAATACACTCAGATGTTTGGGGTCCAGCCCCCATTTCCTCTTTAAATGGATATTGATATTTTGTAACATTCATCAATGATTATTCGTTTTTGTTGGCTTTTTCTTATGCATAGCAAAGTAAAAACTTCAATCAAATTCTAACAATTTAGCCAACTCATTAACACACAATTTAATACAAAAATTAAAATTCTTCGTTCTAATGGTGGCGGAGAATATACTAGCTCAACATTCAAGCAGTTCCTTCAAACACAGGGAATCCTCCACCAACTCAGTTGTCCCTACACCCAGAACAAAATGGTGCTGCTGAACGCAAAAATACACGAACCCTCCTACATGCCGCCAATCTTCCACTCAATCCTGGGCCGAGGTTGTGCTTACCTCAAACTACCTTATCAATCTTCTTCCCACCACAGCCCACCAATTTCAAACACCCTATCAACTACTATATGGACAACTTCCCTCCTATAGCCATTTACACACTTTTGGGTGCCTTTGTTTCCTCACTTATCACATCTAGATACAAACAAACTTAACCCACTATCTCAACCTTGTATCTTTTTACACTACTCTCCTACACACAAAGGCTATAGGTGTTATGATCAAAAATCAAAGAAAATTTACATTTCCAGGCACATTACTTTCCATGAACATCTATTTCCCTTTGGCTCTCCTATCACCTCATCCACTACCACGCCTCCACCATACTCAATTTCTCCTCCGTTGCTCATTCCAACATAACGTATCACCTCTCCAAGCAACACTCCGAACGAATCTATCACCCCACCTTCATCTCATTCCTCCCATCAAACTATTCTAAAACCAACTACGGCTCAACCCACCTCATCTCCAATATCAACTCTTTCACCATAACAATCAATCACCTCAATTCATCCTAAGCAGATCAGGCTTAAAACAGCAAATATAAAGCCAAAACCAATTTTTAATTTGCTAGCAAACTTCTTACCTCATCCCATTCCAACTAGCTACAAGGAAGCAGCCAAATCTTAACAATGGCGCTCTGCCATGTCTTCAGAATTCCTAGCCTTGCAAAAACAAGGCACGTGATCATTAGTCCCTGCTCCCACCAATCAACCAGTGCTCGGTTGCCGCTGGACCTTCAAACTTAAACTCCATCCCAACGGTCAGATTGACCGTTACAAAGCCCGCCTTGTCGCTCAAGGATTCACACAGGAGCATGGAATTGACTACCAAGAAACATTTAGTCCGGTTGCGAAAATTCCTACAATACGGATTCTCCTTCTAATAGCACTTCACCGAAACTAGCCTCTCGTGTAGCTGGATGAGTCCAATGCTTTTTTTCATGGAGACTTATAGGAAAACGTTTACATGCTTCAACCACCCGGATTTCTCGACAAACAGTTTCCGCATCACATCTGCAAGCTCCACAAGGCCCTCTATGGACTTAAGCAGGCTCCAAGACAGTGGTTTCACAAATTTACAGATGCGCTTCTTCGCTTAGGCTTCCACTTCAGCAAGTCCAATTCCTCACTGCTTGTATATCATCATAACAAGGTACAAATTTATCTACTGATGTATGTAAATGATATGCTAATCACAAGCAATCTTCAACCCACCATCCAACGCATCATCACTCAGCTACAATCAGATTTTTTTCTCAAAGATCTTGGCTCTGCTTCCTTATTTCTGGGAATTCGAATATCCACCACTTCCAATGGTTATTTTCTTACCCAGCAACATTATGCCAGAGACATTATCCATGCATCAGGATTTAACCAATGCAAATCTGCACTCACACCGGTGCCCACCAAGCCTTCACAATGTCATGATGTTGAACTTCCATATCACAATCTGCATCTGTATCGCCAACTTGCTAGGTCATTACAGTATCTCACCATTACCAGACCTGACATAGCATTTGCCACAAATCAGATATGTCAGTATATGTGCAACCCAACAAACCTTCATTACCAGTCTCTCAAAAGGCTCCTTAGGTACATTCAAGGCACAATCGATTTTGGTCTTCCTTTAGTTTGCAGCTCACTTCAACTACGCACATTTGTGGATGCCAATTGGGTGGCCGATTCTCATGACCGCAAGTCTGTCACTGGTTTATGCACATTTTTGGTAGATAATCTAATCTCATGGAGCGTTAAAAAGCAATCAACAGTGGCTAAATCCTCAACAGAAGCAGAATATCGCGTCTTTGCTTCAACAACATCGAATACACTCTGGCTCTGACTTCTTGATAGGGACATCAGATCATCATGGAAAGTTTACCAGCGACGTGGCCGCCAATCTACGGCCACGATCGACTCGTTATATTTTTGAGTCGATGTATTTTATTTTCATGCATTTTATTATTTGCTTATGTTTGTTTATTTATTTTCCCTTTGTACCCTTTTGTATGGGAGTGGTCATGTGTAAGCCTAAGGGCATTTGTGTCATGTCAGTTAGAGTCCTTTGTATGAGGCTATTTAAAGCCCCTTTGTTTTATTTTCAAGGAAATGAATGATTATTTGAGAATTTTGTCTTCTTGCTTGGAGCATTGTGAGAACTTGTGAGTTCTAATGGAGAGAGATCCCTAGGAGAGGGAGATTTGCGCACTACCCACCAACCTTGGGGACGGCCGGGTTCGTGGTTCGTTTTCTTACTTGATTGCTTTGACTTCCCCATCATCTAATCCGCCAACCTCTCCACCCGAGCCTTCTTCTTCCCTCAAGACCACCGCCAATATCCTTCCCCACGATCTTCACCCGAACCACTATCCTCCCTCCACCCGAGCCCGAACCGCCGGCCATAGATTTTAGCCGCCGGCCACATTCAAGCGCTTTCCCCTTATGAGTTTCCTACTTGGGTGTGAGGAGATTTGGGATAATTTTGAATTTCAAGTCCTTGAATTTGAATTTCAAAATCCTGCCTAAAACAACTCATCTAATTTAGGGGAGCTTCTATTTTAATCTAATTTGAAATTCAAAATTCAATTGGATTTTAATTAGGCCTTTCCTAAATATAAAACCTGAGTTAATACACTTTATTATCCCTCCTTAATATTCCCGTGATCAGAAATCCCGCCAGCTCTCTATGGGGGACCACTTAATATTTATTTCCTAACTCCATTCACTGCCTATGGAAATATTTCCCAAAACTCCTAAACCTGAGCCGATTTTTCCTCAAGCCCCACCTCTTTAATATTTCCTATATTCTCATTTTAATTTAGGAAATAAATTTCTGGACTTCTCCTCTCTCCCGTAACAGCCAATCTCCCTATTTGGATTTCCTTAGAAATCCCTCTGTAGTGCTTGATCTCCTTGTGAGAAGCGTTGAAAGCCATTACCTGCTGCTGGCTGAATTTTCCACTGATCATCTTGGCACTTCTCTACAAAATTTCCATAATCTATTTACAAGAATCTGAAACCAATTTCAGATTTCAGCGTATGGTCCTTTCCCCCCCACAAGGCAAGAGAAGCTTCTTTCTTATCAAGATATCTGAGTACATCACCAAGGCGAAAGAGATTGACCATACTATTGAAGAGGACGTGGATGGCATCTTGTGCGTTCTAACGGAAGCCATCAACGAGCATGACGAAGGCCTTGATTGGAAGATCTTCACATCGCCTTAACAAAGGTCTTCCCTTCTACTTGTATTCAATTTCTTCTAAATCTAAATTCTCAATTGGTTGATTGTAATCACGAAAGCGCCTTCAATTGCTCTTGCCAAGCCTAGTCATTTGTAGGAATTGAGTGTAATCTTCTATGCATCCTACGTCTCGTTGTTAGATTAAGGATTTAACTTGAAAACTACTATTATGTATTGCATTCTATTTTCTTAATTATCTTGATAGTTCAAACTCGGAGCATGTGATTTAGCCTACGCAATTGATCCACTCATTTGTTTTAGTTATCGTTTGAAAACTGCTTGTAATTTTGTTCTGAAATTGTTCTAATCTATTAGTTGTGCAATGCCCACATGAATCCATAAGCATGTCATCTAAGTAGTCCTGCATCACTTCTTTTGGCTGATTTTCAGACACATCAACACTCAACCACTCCCCTTTATTGTGACAACACCTCTGATTTGGCTCTTGCAAACAGCCCAATTTTTCATGGCTGCACAAAACACATCGAGATCGATTATCATTTTATCAGTGATCACATCAAATCAAAGGCAATTACAATTCATTGTATCAGCTCCTTGATCAACCTGCAGACATTCTCACCAAACCACTTTCAGCTGCTCGCTTCCACACGCTCAGACACAAACTAACGATCCACTCCATGGCTCATTAATTTGAAGGGGGATGTTAGCATACGGTTTATAACTGCCTACAACTGTTAGCACACATTCTTACAATTGCTTGTATCATCTGGATGCATTCATTCAGTTACACCAACGTGCAGACATTATGGCATAACTATCTTAATAACTAACTCTATTATCCTACCCTATATATCTAGTCTCTGCTAATGTAACCGGCATGAATGAAATCAATAGACATTTCTTCTATTTCTTACTGTGTTTATCTTGTTTACTGCTTGTTGTTTTCCTGTATGCAACAGGGGTGTAGGTTTACACCTTTTGAACCAATGACCTCAACAAAAACCCATTTTATTAATGAACTATAGCTCATCAACCAAGCAGCACCTTAAACTTTCAATTCAGCAAATTTTATCAGTATCTTCTTTCAATAACAACTTTCCACCCCCACCCCACTTTTCAAACAACAGCAGAAATAATAAATGACGCCAAAGTTTGAAACTTGCCACAAACCCATAAGCTTAAGATTAGTTCATATGAATTCCCAAAACTAAAAGTATCAGAATAATGCTCGAACTTATGCCTTCAAAACCAAAATATGGCAGCACGAGAAAACAAAAATGCAGGGCTTAAAGGCTATGGGCATAGCAAAATGGGCATGTTTATAACCAGAATATAACACACAAGATTTTGCCAGGGTAAGGAACGAGTATTACATTGCTTCCTTTCCAGACTTGATAGACCCTCTTGGACGCAGTGTTGTTTTCAATGATCCTGCAATTAGAATCAGACAGCTGAGGAGGAGCTGCTATGTTCATCTTATCTTACAACCTGAGCTGAACCAAGTTCCAATAATATTCCTTGAGTTATTATTTTTTTCGCTGCAACAATTAACAAAAAAAAAAAACAGGAGAACCGTCAAAAGTTTCAATCTCATTGGACACGACGTCAAATTTGACAAAGCGAGAAAAGATTTAGGAGACCGAAACCCAGAACAAACAACAATCCATACAAATCCGTGAAGCGATCGATAGAAAACGGAATGACATTGTGCAAGTACCTCTGACAGGAAACGGATCCAAGAAGGTAGAAATCAAAAAAGCTAGCTCCGGTGCCACCGGCAGATCTTTGCAGCCCTGGATAGGGCCACCCGTAGTCAGCTCACCAGTCACCACCTTGCTTGAGCTGGAAAAAACCGAGAGGTAGGCAGCACGCCTTACTGCTAGCTAATGATCGGGGGTCATCCGTTGAGAATGCAAGAGGATCTACCTCAGAGGCGAGACGGGCATTGCCGGAATTGTGGGAGGAGGCATAAACGATCGTTTGAGAAACTCAACCAGGAGTGCACTGATGCGAGGGAGAGAGAGAGAGAGAGGAGACGAGTCAAAAAGCCACCATAGATCGGGTATACTAACTGCAAATAAATATATTTAAAGAACTTAATTTTTAATTAGAGCTTTAGCTTAGTCAGATCAGAATACATTATCCCCATTAAATATTATTCTGCCAAAATGAACATGTCCCGAATCCTCCATAATTGTACAAATCTACGTGTGTTGCTTAAAAACTTTGAAGGCCATTGATGTGTGAGAAATTTGATAAATGCCTGTTTTACTCGTCTGAATAGAATAATGTATTTACTTAGTTATTTAGATGTAAATGGAGATCAAGGAATTGTTCTTTAGATGGATAGCCGACTATTCATGCAATCAGAATTTTTCAAAGAAGATCTTAAGACTGTTGTAAATTAGATGGGACATAACAAATTCACCTGCGCTTGATGGAATTTCAGCAACCTTCTTCAAGCTCTATTGGGATATTTTGCATGATCATATTTGGAAAGCAATTAGTGAATTCTTTAAAATAGAATGCATGCCATCTCGATGGAAAGAGATGTTGGTTATTCTCATTCCAAGGTGGAGAATGCTACTGAATCCTTAAAATTCAGGCCAATTAATCTTTGCCAAACAATATATAAGATAGTTGCAAGGATGTTAAATAGATTTAAATTGATTATTCCCAGCTTAATTTCTAAAGAGCAAGTAGCATATGTTCTTAGCAGATCTATTTCAGAGCATTGCCTCTTAGCTCAAGAAGTGTTCAATAAATTCATATTTTTTGCATCAAAGAAAGGCTATATTGCTTTGAAGGTGGATATAGAGCAAGCCTATGATAGTATATGCTGGCCAACGTTTTTCCAAGTTATGAAATTAAAGAACTTTCCTCTGAAAATTATAAACTAGGTGTTGCAATGTGTTTATAATCCTAGAATCTCAGTTATTATTAATGGTCAAAAACAAGATTAGATAATGATTGATTGTGGCTTTATACAAGGATGCCCATTATCTCCTTATTTGTCTTTTTTTAGAACTACTGTCCAAAGCTATCCAACAGAAAGGTGTGAAGCTGGATATCAAATTAGCATCTAATTCTGATATAATTTCTCATCTTCTATATGTAGATGATGTATTGATCTTTACTTAAGTTAAATGTATGAATATTAGCCTTATTAAGCATATTATGGATGAATATTACTCTTGGAATGACATAAAATAAATAAGGATAAATCAATAGTTATTTGTTCAAATGTTCTGAATAAGAAATTTGAAAAAAAGATTGGCTATGTGCATTGGATTTAGATTGAAAGAACTTGTTTATCTTGATGTTAAAAAAAATAGTTCTTGGAAGATATGTTGTTCGTCAAGCATACGTTGGAGAAGCTTAACTCATGGGGTAGCACATGTTTATCCTTTGAAGGGAGGGTTGTGCTAATTAAATTTTATCTTCTTTCTCTCTCATCCTTCTGCATTACTCACTCTTTAGTTCCTAAAAGAGTGTTAGCTGTTCTAGACAGATTATGTATAAGTTTTTTTGTGGCATAAAGATAAAGGGAGGTAAGGTATGCATTATATTAAATGCAAAGATCTTTGTATTCCTAGAAAGTTGAGAGGCTTGGGGTTCATTCATAATCCAACTTTGAAGGTCCTTTGAGAGCTAGATTAGCTTTAAATTTCTATATTAATCTAGATTCTTTACTTAACAAAGTATAATTTCCCAATATCACAAGTATATTTGGTCTTCTTTAGTAAATAGAGGTGATTCTGCTATTTGGAAAACTTTATTTGATGGTGCTCAAAATCTGAAGCCGTTGATTAGATGGAAGATTGGGAATGGGAAGCATATCCAAGTAATGGCAGACACATGGATTATTGAAAATCTTTGGAGAAATGGTCTACATTCTATGATCATATCAGTTTTCAAACTTTAACAAATGATAATCTGTAAAATTCAGAAGGGAGATGGGATAACAATAAGCTACAGAAATTCTTTAGAGAAGAGCTTATTAACAACATCAAACAAATTGCTGTTGTTTCTCAGTTGGAGGTGTACATAATGGAATTAATTCATTTGCATACACGTAAATCTATCTCAACTTTGGCAATGTAATATAAATTTATGAATACTGATATAAAAAATTTTGATGAATCTGAGAACTTCAATTTGTTAAGCATGTTAAAGTTGAGGCCTAGAGAAGCTTTCTTTTGGTGGAGGCTTAGAAGAAATGCTTTACCAACAAACTCTTGGCTTAAGCATAAGAGATTGTATGACTCAATTTTTTGTCCAAGGGGCTGTCAAATGGAAGAGGATGTTGAGAAAATTTTAGTTGAATGTTTGAAGCTCAAAGAACTGATAGTTACACTAAAACATTCGGGAATTCATGCACCAGTTTTCAATACTTTTCCTTAAATGATTCAGGAGCTGCGAGTTATATCTACAAAGAATTATGTAATGGGGAGAATATATTGTTCTATTGTTTTCCATGCTTGGAGAAATAGAAACAACATTAAGCACGTTAAACCTATTAATCTTCTTTCATTGACAACTACTACTATTTTATCTATTGTTATTGATCTACATTCGGATCCAATTATATAGAACTGGGTTGCTAATCAGTCTGCACATCTGAGATGTAAATTTTGGCATCCCCCTCCTCCAAATTAGATAATGGTGAATGTGGACGCTTCTCTACTCAAATCTAATAATGCTGGAATCAAAGGAGTTATTAGATATCACAAGGGCGGGTTTATTTCTACATTTGGAAAGAAATTATTTCATTTGGATGTTGCTCAAGTTGAAGTTCTTGCTATTCTTATCTTTAAAGATGTCTAAAATATTGGATGTTGGAATCTAATGGCATTTGGATTGAAGGTGATAACATCAATGTTATCAACATGTTTCAGAAATATTTTGCTTCTCCTATTAAGTATAATATAAATAAAGGTCTCTTATATTCATCCTTTTTGTATGGCTTTAAATAAGTCATTTTTCATTATATTCCTAGCTAGGGAATGTAATAAACTTATTGATCAACTTTTATGTCTTTGTTGAAGGAAGAATGCGATAAAGTAGCTATCATTTAAATTGTATTTTTCTTTTTTTATTAATATATGCAATTTACTATTTCTACAAAAAAAAAATGAATTCATATAGGGTTGAAATTTGATTATATTGTTAGTGTTGGATTTAATTTTATTTATGAAAAACATCAAACTTTTATAACAAAAACTATTAAGAAATGAGAAAATGAAATAGAGAAAAAAAAGTGAAAGAATTCATAGCATTAGTTAGGAATAACAATTAATGTTTTTCTACAATCATATATTTGAGATAATTTCCACAATATAAAAAAGAAATTGAAAGAAAAAATATATGAATTTGATTGTATTATCAGAATATACAATACATGATACAAAACTTCTCTATCTCCTGAGTTTCCCCTCTGACCCTCTATTTATAAGTGGAGGTGAAAACTCAACATTATAAGAAAGATTTTATTTAATAAAAATGAGTGAATTATATTATGGATTCAAATTTGTCCGTGGAAGACACCCAACCTTACTAACAGACTAAAACTAAGAGCAAGTGAGTAACCAAAGATTTTGTGAGAGAATCGAAAGAGAGAAAAAGAAGAGAGAGAAAAAGAGCAGAGATAAAATCTATAGAATACTCAAGAAACTATGAGTCTGAAAACAGTTAAAGTACCCACTATATTCGCCCAATAATCCCTAAATTATTCCTCATCGCCCCTTTTTGATAGGGTTTTGAAGGATACATAAAAGGCTACAAAAAAGTTAAAAAAAAAAAAACAACACTACATAGAATGCCGATATAATACTACATACAACCCTAGACATGTGTCCTCGCCTTATAAGTTGAAGGATAGTGAGATCAAAAGTTTTCTATGAGTTTCTTATGGGTGACTCTAGTAAAACTAAGTGGATAAGGATGAGTGTGCTCAGATGAGTCTATGGGAAAGTACTATGATGAAAGGGGACCAATGGCTGGCAAGTTGGTTGATGTGGCCAACTACCTGTATATACGTTATAATATTGCTTGAAAAAGAAGGGCGAGTGAGATACTGACATGGAAAAGGAGAGCTTCATCTCATATGGACTAGTGAGTCAAACTAAGGGTCTCATGAATAAGCACATTCATGTAGTTGTGTTTGGTGAGAATGGTCGCCCTTGAAAAGAGCGAGTACTTTAAATGTGGTCTAGGCATATTCTAGCTTTGGAGATGAATCTCCTATTTTCCCCGTGCAAGTCGAGCTCCTTGGAAGGCCTGAATAAGTAATACTTTTTGGTCATTTCAAACAAGTTCTCTTGCGAGTTACCTAAGTGGGCTCCTTTAAGGGTGAGATCTTCTATCATAACTCACCAACTTCTTACTAAATACATATAAAGGCATATGTTAGTATACATTAGTTCCTTGATTCACTTAGTCATTTGATGGGCAAGTGGTAAAAAAGGACAAGTGAATAAATAGATAGTGAGCATTAAAAAATTGGAGATCATTAAATAAGGCTACCAAGCAGTAAGAATAAAGATTAAATGCAAATTTATCAGTTTGCTTACTATAGCCTTGAGGTTTTATGGTAACCTTGTATTGAAAATGGTAATGTGATACCACTTCTTGCTTAGCTCTTTATAAATATGGGGTATTCACTGAGAAAACTCCACTATGTGCTTTGGTGATTGGCAAGCTTACAAGTCTTGTAAAGGATGGAGCTCATTGAGTTGGCTAATTCTCACCAAAGGATGACAAAGAAGGTTTCCTTCTACCAAGAATGAAAAGAGAGATATAAGAAAGAAATAAAGGTATCAAAGAGTTTCATTAATGTTGATGCTCGAGGAAGGGAGGGGGGACTTCAGAGACATATGAGCCTATCGCACTGCCCCTCATGCAATAAAGATTAGTGTTGACCTCAGGGTGGTGACAAAGGATGTTATTACGTTAACTTTGATAACTATGGTTGTTAAGGTTGACAATGCTAATGTCAGTGGTGTTCAGGCCAAGGATGAGGATGAGAAGCCTTTGGAGACATGATTGAGCAGGTGAGTGTCATTAAGTGGCAATTGTCTAAGATTTCCTTGGAGTTATCCTCTACTGAGGTTGGAGCAAATTCTCAAGCGCCACTACCGAGAGCATATAATAGAAAAATAAACAAGTTTAAGCATTTGTAAATAATATTATATAGAAAATGGGCACCTATTATGCGAGAGCTTGTAGTTTGTATTTACTTGAGTGAGCTATTGTAACACCTATATTGAAAGCAAAAGGCAAAGGCTTTGGGATAATGGGGGGCTTTTTTACTACCCTAAGGGAACTTTTATGCAGGATAGGCTTCTAATTATGCCTCTAAGTCTTTTAGATTTATTTTCTAACAAGTTTTTAGTGTTGATTTTAAAGGTACCACCTTAGAAGGAGTTCCATGATGTTGAGCCCTGATCAAGAGTGATCAAGCTCGTTAAGGTTGTCTAATAGCTAACAAAAGTTACATATAAGTAGGTTGATACTATATATTGTTGGCTGAGAGGAGGAGCTCACCTATGTTGCTTATAAGGAGAATACTATAAGTACACTTCACTTGGATTCGTTATCATTTGGTCACTCTATTGACATCTTTTCTCCTCTAAAATCGATAACATTGAGTGAGGAGGAAAATTGACTCATTATTTTGCAAAAGATGATGAACCTTCATAGAGTGGCCACCAAGCCTAACAAGTCACATGGTGGGGTGCTTTAAAGGAGGTTGTTGAGCTAAGAGGTGAAGTCATTGAGCTGAAGAGTGAGCTTGTCGATTGAAGAGGGTGTATGGTGAGTTAAAGAATGTGGCCAGCTCCCTAAGGGCAGAATTGAGGGAGGCTACTTGCTAGGTGAGGATGATTGGCTTCGGGGGGAGGGGAGGGGAGGCTAATGCCAACGATAGTTTGGGAATCAATATATGTGTTTTCATAGTGGTGAGTAGGCTCGCACCACCTTTCCTTTTCTTTTTATTGTAATGTATTACCATGTGTGTGTGCGCGCTCATCTAGGCTCATATGTAAAAACCATTTATTATAATAATATTTTCTTGTTCATATGAGTTTTATTATTTTCATTTTGCATATTCTCTCGAACATTTTGGCAATTTATAGTTTTTAGGTAAGCATATGGTTAACTAGGGTTGATCATGGGTTAATTGTGAGTCAAATTAGCCTTTGAGGAATATTTGATCATTTTGACTCAAACAAGGAATTGGGTTTGACCCAAAATTGCCCAAAGGCTTGCGTATAAGGGAATTTTGATAATTTCGATCACCGACCTTTATCAAAAACGTTGACCAAGGGTTAACATTGACTCTAAATGATCAAGATATGAGTTTTGGTTAATTACCATTCAAAGCAAGATCACTAAGTTAGTTTTGGGTCACTAGGGCAAGTATAGGGGCAATTTAGTTATTTTAGGCAATCATGGGTCTTGATCTAGGGTTCACCTATGGTTTAGACCTTAGGTGAGACTGCCACTTTCTTAAGGCCACTAAAAATATTATGGCAATGGGTATATTAAATTCATAAACTTATATTTGAATTAAATTTATATCAAATATTTAATATAACATAGTAATAGTATTATGTTAATTTTATTAATTTTAATAATATTATTATTTATTACATCACCCGGTTCGACCCCAATTTGACCGGTCGAACCGTGAATCTCTTCTTCTTTCTATTCGTTGTCCAGTCCTATTTTCACAATCTTTAGTTTACCTTTATCTTTATTAACGTAGATTAATCTAATACATTTACGCTCTTAACTAGGTCATGGAAGACCTATATTTTATGTAATCAAACCATCTAAAGTGACTCTCTAATCTTTTATTGGTCATTCGAGCTACTCCAACCTTTCCATATATATACTTAATTCGCCTTCTATCTCTTTGAGCAAAACAACTCATCCACCATAACATCCTCATCCAATGAAAACTTAAAGAAACTAATTAAAATATTAAGAAAAATTACTCAGTTCAAATGTTTGATTGAAAGATAAATATAATTTTCTATATTTATGCAATTATCAGAATCATCATAGTCCCAGCGCACCATCAATGATGAAGGTCACTTTTTGATGTGTTACCAACCTCAACTTCCTTAAAGCCATCTCTTTTAATACTTTGCAAAATAGATTAAGTGCAATGCTATACATTTTCTCCTGACGCCTTTGATGGCTATCCTTTGATGAAAGATAAGCGAAGCAAATGTTAAAGAAGGTCGATGATCAAATTCCCAAATTGGTAAACAGATTTATACGTTTATTTCATAAACTCTACATTTCAAGCCATTCAAAGTTGTTCAACACAATTTTTTTCACAAAAATACCTTAAATTTCACTTTTTTAAAAAAAGACCCTAAATTTAAATTTAATTAAGGTTTTATTTGGGACAGGTTTCTTACTAGTTTCTAAAGCAATTTTTTAGTATAAATTTTTTTTGAACTTAAAATGTTTGTACTGGAAAGCTGCTTTAGAAGGCATTAAGAAAGCTATCCCAAACAAAACTTAAACTTCAACGAACTTTGATTAGCCTATCCACCCGAAATATATTTAAAAAGTGTGTACTTACAAGTGAGCAATTACATATACTGATGTTTTGTTTTTTAATGAATAGAATAAAAATACAAGATCTCGAAAGTTTCATTTGGGACGGTTTTTTTCAGCTTCTTAAAGCAGCTTTTTAGTACAAAAATTTAAAGGTATTTTAAGAAGTAGAAAGAAAGCCGTCTTTTGCCTTACCTTCCCTTGCTGGATCAAGTTGCATTGACTCTTAACTTCTGTGGCAATTCTGAATCATTTTCAATCTGCCTTGCATATGGGGCAAGCTCGGTTATGAATAAGAATAACCTTGAAGGCAAGGAAAACATATTCACCTTTCTAAAAATAAAATGATAGCATCTTATATATATATCAACATTATTTGTATAGAATCCTTAAATAGAAACGATTTACTATAAAAAATTAGAATAAAACTTATTCTCTTTATTATTTGATTAGATAATGGATCAATCAAACTTCCTTCCAATCATATACATGACATTCTTCTTAATTTTGATTGATTCATCTAAAAAAATAAATCTCAAATAATAATTTTTTGAATGTTAGAATTGATTAAAAGAGGGATTTTAAGTGGTATATTAGTAAATATAAAAATTTCTGTGTTAAATATGTATTTTCAATAGTTTTAGGTGTTATGTATGTAAAACTCTCTTAGATCAATTATGATAAATTCATACACACATCACATACGTAAGATTTGAATTTAAAATATCTTAATTGATAGTCAAAACTCCTAACTAACGGACAAAAAAGAGTTGCATTGATTTCTTTTGAAAGACCCCCAACACTAAAAAAGTTAAAGGTTTGTAATGATTTGGGAGCAGTTGGTCCCAGAGGCCAGCAACCTCAATGATACAGCCTACAAGAAAAGCAGTGGGCTGCTTTGATTAGGTTAGCTTTTGTGGGGTCTTTATCAGGCCTGCAAAAAATACTGTGGTGCTTAGCTAACATCATAAACACAAGAAAGCATCCATATATACAGATAGATAAAGCAAAGATTTTATTGAATTTACATGTCAAATAGCCAATACCGATGGGTTTTAAGCAAAAATCACAACCCAGTTCCCTAACATCAATGGACAATACAACTCATGAACAAACATTCAAGAAGTATAAAATAAAAAGAAAATACAATTATTTATTATGTTTTTTGAACGGTGATATCTACCCGTTGCCACCTCTGTAGATGAGGTATTTGATAGAGTAACTAATCCCTCGGCGGATTTAGGGGCAACCAACCCCACAGGTGCCGGACCAAGAACTTGTTTTTTCTCCCCTTAAGGAGTCGCCCGCTTGAGAGCGGAATCGAACGTGAGTTGGAGGGTTCCCCATCACGCTCGCCCACCAAACCAGCTAAGCCAAGAAGAAATAAGCTGGCACACTTCACCACAAATACAATCATGAAACATATAAAACATATATGCTTTCAAATATATCTGCTACTAATCTCCCCATTTAAAACACAGGAAGGCTAGTCTTAGCACACATGCATATTTGCTATACATATATAATTTCTTTAAAAAAAATAGACTTTTAGAGATAGAATTTATCTAAGTTATTCAAATATTATATAAAAATATATTAAAATTTAGAGGTAAATTATATATATGCATGTAATTAAATCCCATAATTAATGATCAGCAGCCGCGAGCCAACATCTCACGATAATCTATCTCATATTGCAGCAAGGCAAAGCGGCTTTGTCTCCGTAGCTGTTCATAAAACCTCCTGATAAACTCTTCAGCCTCGTCATCCACCTCATTGTTTTCGAATGACACTCGTCTGCTCTCTTCCTCTTCCTCCTCCGAGGAACCGACCGAGCTATTTGGCGAGTAATCAAGCCTAGGCAAGGCGGCGGCGGCCGCGGAAGAAGGAACTATGGGAGGCCTTTCATCGTCCTCTTCGGCCATGGCACTAATGCAGGGGAAATAGTTGCGGTGTGCACCGCGCTTGGCATGGAAAAAAACAGGATTTGGGCTGTCGCTGCAAGAGAATTCATATTCCTGTAGACCGTAGCCATAGCCACGCGGCCGGGCGTGGTGGTGAATATTGAAGACGTGGTTGCCGAGAGCTTTTCCGATGAGCTTTCCCCGCTTCATCAAAAGGTTTATGTCTATGATTAGTTTTCTCTTGGAGATGAGGCCTTTTCTTATCATGAAGAGGGCTACACGGAGGTAGCTCCGAAGGCGCTTTGCTGCTAGTGGAGAGTGGAGCTTCATTGATGATGGATAGGTACGCGCGTAGAGGGTGGTGAGGGTTTCTTGACTCTGCGAGGTTTGGGGAAAACCTCGCAAAGAAGAGAACCCTCAGTGGCGTAGGAGAAGAAGGGATGGTGGTTATTTATGGAGAAAGGTAGAGGAGGGAAAGAGGAAGGAAGAGTGGTGGAAGGTGAGAAGTAAAGAGAAGAAAAGAAAATTAGATAGGAAAGGTGACAGTAGGTAGAGAGGAAGAGCTAGACGGGAGGGGACCTGAAAGGTTAATTTGTATTTTATGATATTTGTGATAGGGCCAGCACAACTGGCTTTAGTATCTCTAGTATTCCTTTAATTTGGATTTGAAATTGTGGTCGGGTTGGCTTAGAAATTTGAAAATTAATGAAATAACTTAATGATTTTTTTTGGGATTTACATACATATATCATTTTATAATAGTCTATTTATATATCTAACATCTAAAACTTTAATATATATTATATATCATTTGATATTATTTTAATATCAAATAGGTCACCTATATTTCATTCTCATCACCTATATATTTCATTCCTATCACTCATATTTGATATGAAATTGAACTATGGGTAATATATATGTAATATTAATATTTAGCTGTTACATATATAAATAGAGTATTATATAGTCAAAGGCGGATAAATGGGGAGGGGGGCTTTAAAAAAAAGCTTATATTATTTTACAGATTCACTGTTTATCTTCTTACCAGAGCCAACTCTTTTGTAGTTCTGCCTGCTCTAAGCATATGGCGAGATTCAGCCGCCCCGCCCTAACGTGCGATTGCGGCGAAATAAGATGGTATCGGGAGGACTAGACCGGTCAATATTTGACCTAACCCGAAAATTTCAGGTTTGGGTTGACCCGAATTTGAAGAGGGTCGGATTCGGGTACGAAAAACCGACCCGTTTGCAAAACCGGGTTGAGTTTGAGTTGACCCAGAAACCCGGGAAGGACCTGAATTGACCCGAAATAACACATAAACATGGCTGCCCCGCGACCGCCTACCCGGTTGCCCCGACCACGCGCATCGGGTAGCGTCTCGAGGCCAGCGTTGCGTCGCATCTGTCGTCAGTTCAATGTCCCACTGTCCCACGTCAATTGTCAGCGTCACTACATTAGCCCTGCGTCGCGCACTCGAGCGCGCCTCGAGTCTCGCACTTCGGCCACCCCGCTATCGCGCGACCGCGTGATCCGCGACGCCGCATCTAACCTAACGAGCCGCACAGCTTGCCCAGCCTGCACATCGAGCCAAGCAGCGTGCCCCATGGTTCGTGTGTGACCCGCTGCCCGCGCATGACCCGCGACCGCATGTAGCCTGCCCCGCCTGCCCGCTGTCGCTGCTGAATGGGATTTGGTGAAATTTTTGAATGGAGGCGCGAGATTTGGCTGAAACAGGTGGGGTCGGGTTGACCCGAACTCAAAGCGGGTAGGGTTCGGGTCAAGAAAACCGATCCGTTTGCAAAAACGGGTTGGGTTAGGGTTGACCCGATTAATGCCGGATAAGTTCCAGATTCGACTCAAATCTGACCCATGACCCGAAATTGACACCCCTATGTAACGATGGCCGGTGAGCTCTCTTCAGCTTTTTTTACAATGACGACAGGGTTACCTCATATTCGGCATCTCCGGCAGCATACTTATCGCTGAACACGTCGCTCCTGTTCATCGCAGTGATTTCAGTTTACAGAGGGAATAATGCACGAAGTCTCTACCGTCGGATTTGTACACTCTTTACCGCGGCGTGCTGCGTGGGATCGCCATCGTGCCAGGTTTTGAGCAGCCGGAGCACAATTTACACAGATAACAAGCTATTTATTTATTTATTTTTATTTCGGTTTGCAAAAATGAGAAATCAAATAATGTTAATTTACAGCATATGTTAGTTTACTTAAAATTTAGTTGCCTTGTTCTGGTTGAGTTGTTTCAATGTGCCATTGTGTTTTGAAGTCTTGATTTTATATCTTTGTTTTCAACATCATGAAAAGATATTTCAAATCCAAAAAAACATCTAATAATATGGATGCAATTAACAATAAAGTTGAGGTGTAACATGAATATTATAAAAAATCGGTTACGTAATAGGATTGAAGATAAATGGATGAAAGATTTATTAATTGCTCATATTGAGAAAGAAACTTTAGATTCTAATGATAATGAAGTAATCATTCAATTCTTTCAGAATATAAAGAGCATACATTATAAATTGTAAGTTGTTTACTATCTTATATTTAATATTATATATATTTTGATAATAATTGAACATAAATTTTTAAAACTGTTTATGCCGGTCCGGCAGTGGCGGATCCAACCCTTTTTTTCAGGGTGGGCAAAGTCGATATAGAAAAAAATAAATACAAAAAATATAGGTATATTTCACTAGCAAAATTCAAAGCAAAGCATTGTATTACATCATGATTTATGAAATTAAAAAGAAAATTACAAACTTTGCATTCTACTTTGCATTTTCTGATAATGCTGCATAATGACTTCATTTGGAACAGAATCAAATATTTCTTTCTCAATATAAGGAACTAGACAGTCGTTGAGCCAAACATCACTCATTTTGCTATGCAGTCGATGCTTAATGATCTTCATTGCAGAAAATGCTCTCTCCACCGTAGCAGTAGCAACTGGTAACGTCAGTGCCAAAACAATAAGTTTATAAACTAGGGGATACACAATATTTTTTTTTATCCTTTACCATCTGTTTTGCTAGAGCAGCAATGCTAGTTAAAGTTGTAAACTTCTCACTAGTGCGCATATCAATAATATAAGTAGATAACTGATGCTCAAGAGACACAAGATCAATCATAGAAAAATCTGCTGGATATAACTCTGCAAGACGAATTAACTTCCCCTTATCATAAGCAGAGAACATGTTACTTGGATTTAGGCATGTCACACAAAGAAGTAACTCGGTGCTACTTTCTGAGAACCGATTATTCAATTCCTGAAGTTGCATATCAATAACCGCGTAGAATAAATCTACTCGATAATGATTGAAGTTTGTAATTTCTTCACATTTTCTTACAGATCGTCCATGAGCCTTGAATTTAGAA